CTTTATACTTTTTTGTATTGCTTTTCTAGCGTATCCGTAACTAATAAAAATTAGAGTCAGTTTGTTTAAACCTTATTTCCAGAACTCCAATACCATTATTCATATTCTTCTGATGACCAAGTTCCTCGCTCTTCGAATTTTCAGTCTGTTGTTGTGATCAGAATATAAATCTAAAATTATTCCTACATGTAGCTTCTTTATGAATAATCCCGTTGAGTGTCCCGAGAAATAATCAATCTCGATATCCAGGAGAAGTAGCTGCTCATCCTTCTCCCCTTACGTTGTGAAATTGATTCTTTCTTCAAGTTTGTTCCTAAAGTTGATGTACTTTTCTAACTTTTCGTTTGCATTGCGACCAAAGTGCAATGATGTCATTAGGTTATCTCATAAATAATCTTGTTTGAAATAGTGAATCTTTAAATTCCTTTTCTAATTTGTCTATGTACACATTTGCCAAAAGAGTTGCGGATGGAGATCCTATAGGTAGTCCAAATATAGGCTCATGGATATTTCAGTTGGATGTGAAGTATACTGTACTTATTTATGAAGTGCACTTACCCTATTTGATTTAAGATACTAAGGCGACTGGTAGTTGAATTTTCCCACAGTGCTATGAGTCGATCTTACGTTTCTATTGAATTTCGCAAAACCTTGCTTTCCCCATGGCAACCTAATGTATACTCAACATTGTGGAAGAATTTAACTACCAGTTTCCTTGTCACGGTAAACGAAATGGGAGGAATACGCCACATATATGTGATCTACTGGTAGTCTAGGAAAATCAAAATATAAACTAAATGCTGTACTTACTGTCAGGCTTATCAGTAGTGCTAACTTCTCCTTCCATATCTGCTCTCCCTTCAGGTTATCCTCGTCTCCTTCGAAAATCATCAGTACGTCCGTGATTTCCTTCTCGCCTGATATTCTTATGTAAATGGATAGTGCATTAAAAATTGCCAAAAGTTTGCTGTTTTTAAGCTGTTTATAAAATTATTTGAAATCTAACGGGGTTTAATAATCAGTCGTTTGCTATCTTGAGCTTCAGGTGAATGAATTTCGTCACTGTACAATTTCATTCTTGCCTTAATGGTTCTCCTTCTTTGTATATCTTTGCCAATCCGTAGGCTGTCGGTTGTCACAGCCACAAACTTTACCCGGTACACCGGCGCAACTAATATGAAGGAAATGACAGTATTAAGTAAATCTTTCATCCAGCTTAAGAATCCAGGATTTAAAGGATCATTTAATAAGGCTAGAGTATACGTGCTATAAAATAACTGAGGCAATGCTCGAGTGAAATCACTGTTTGGGGAGATAAGAGAAGAATCTTCCTGAGTAAGAGCTAGACTCTGACAGGACCTGGATGAAGTAGATTGCAGACTTAAAGAGCCAAGTTGGATCCGAATCAACAGCACTATAGGGGGGCATAAGGGAACCTGTTTGGAGTGTAAAAAGGCCTCACTAAATCTTCTCAACAGGACTCGTCTCTAGAGCAGGTAAAAATAAGGAAGTTAGAAGTAGTCAAAGTGAAGGGAAGGATTCTAGGATCTGGGACAGGTGAATATTTCACAAAAGGAAGGTATTACAGCTGGTCAAGGGATGAACTTCACTTGTTTCTTTGATGAGTTGTAGTTGAATGCCAATAACGGCAAGGCTTACTGACGATATTGACAAAATGTCTGGGAATGTACCAGGTCCCCAGCTTGAGGCTGAAAATTATTACGGCTACGCTAGCAAAGAACTCTGCATAAGATGCATTCATCAAGATCGCTCCGACAATACGAACAAATTGTGAAAACGAGCTCAAATCGCTTTTTTATATCTAAAGGATACCGCCACCATAACAAATGATACATCATGTGAGTCTCCATGCCATCATGTGTTTAGTCCGCCGAGGTGGACTAAGTAATTTTGTTTAATGGCATTCCGCTGGTTTAGTCTGAACTATCTAATTGCTCTATGGAACTAGTCTCTAATCTACTTATTAGCAGACTAATTTTAAACATCTTATTACAAGTAAAGACTTTTTAAATGCTTATAAAAATATCCTTTCTGAGCTGATTTCAGATAACCGGTGTAATAAACACAGAATGGACCTGTCAGGAGGGCCGTAATGTCTATTCCTAGACGATTTACGTTAGACTATGGCCAAATTTATATGAAAGCCATCTTCTGAATAGCATTTAGGATAATTCTAGATATGCAGAATGAACAAAAGACTCCATGGAGGTAGTCTGATTTCACTCAGCATAAATCTGGATGAGGGGATACCAGACTATAGTGACAAAGAAATGCTCCTGTAGTCATCGCAGTACAAGACGATTAGCACACTATTTCATCCTAGCGGATAGCCTGCTATCTAAACAGCAAATAAACAATCAACTAATGCATTTCAATGAAAAAATTATGGATAACCCTAAATAATAGTAAAGGTGCTGCTGCATCTAAGGCTAGAGTGGCAGAAATTTCCTATCCGGAATTGCATACTTGCCTTGATGGCCAACTAGGGGAATCAAGAATCTTAGTCTGATAAGCTCACTCTCTTAACAACCAAGTGACCAATAGTGTTCATTTATCCTTAAATAACACTGGACAGACAGGTCTGAATAAATAGGACAAGGTTAAAGCCATAATAAAAGCATCCCCACCTGATGCTCCCTAATGACCTGGCATGAGCTTAATTATCTAATGCATTATTAAGTCATCATCATAATGAACGCTAACTCTACTTTATAGCTAATCCCCCTTTTTCTCCCAGCTGAACAAGTTGGGCAGCATATTCAACTGTGTTATTTAGTTTAGTACCTTATTTGCTTGAGTTTCTAATGCAATGCTTGGATAAACAAAAATAAGGATGAGTGTATTCCTTCTGAGTAGGTTTCGGAAATGCCAGTAGAACTTTAATACGAGATGTATTCAACCAAGTCGCATGAGGTGGTGAAGGATGGTGATTTGAGTTTTCCAACAATTATCTTAGTAAGTCTCATGCCTGCGTTGAATTTCGCATAGACTTGTTTCCCAAATGGTATTCTTATCCAAAGTAGACTGCAGTTTCGACCTCAACTAGTTCTCATCAGCACTTCCAGCGGGACTCGAATCCGGTTAGTGTGGAGTATAATACCAACTTTTTTCCTAGGCGAGGTCAAAACAGCAGCCCAACTTGGATTAAAATACCTTTTGGGGAGCAAATGTAAGTGAAAATCATCTTAAACATGAGGCCTACTGATAGCATTGTGAGAAAATTCAATTATCCGTCCTTCGTCACCTTATATAACCTAGAGTGAATATGTGTCTCTTTGAAGGAGAACAGCAAAAATTAATATAATATGGGCGAAACTATTTTTTGATGATCATACAACAAAACAGGGCGTTGGGCACAATCTTTTAACCAATCGGACCTGGGAGGGATTAAATTGGATTAAGTCTTAGTTATTTGTGATTTTATTCCGACGCATGTTACAGTTACTTAATTTAGGCACGAACAGGGATTGACTATAAGCTCTGGAGAGGGAGGAAGCAAATGTTCCGGCTTCATGCCGGTTTTGAAATTCATTTTCAAAGCTGGATTATATCTAACCGATGTTTTTTGAGGTGATATATGCGAAATATACTTCTTTCCAGAGTCATTATTTGAGTACACTTCATTATAAAAAGTTCTGAAAGTCTTAAGAGTTTCTTTATAATGAGATATATTCACCCTTTTTTGTTTAAGATAACTAAGGACTGGTAGTAAAATTTTTCCACAATAACATGAGTAGAGCTGGCATCACATATTACTGATCTACTGGTAGTCTCGAAATTCTACTGACATACGAAAAATAAGTAACGTAGTCAATTGTTATAGCAAATATACATCTGCTTCATCGACAATCCCACCAATGAATGTGATATGGGAAAAGGCATTGTGAGATTATCGATGAAGCAAATGTATATTTGCTATAACAATCGACTACGTTACTTATTTTTAGTATGTCAGTAGAGTTTCGAGACTACCAGTAAATCAGTAATATGAGATGACAGCTCTACTCATATCATTGTGGGAAAATTATACTACTAGTCCTTCATCACCTTAAACAAAATATGGTGAATATATCTCATATTACTGATTTACTGATAGTCTCAAAACTCTACTTACATACAAAAAATAAGTTTATTTAATATATAAAGCCTGTGGCATAATGACCAGACGCATGTAGAGTGGATAAGCATAAAATTGATTCTATTTTAATCGTCCGAAGCAATTCACCACTTAATTTTTAGCATTAACTTTGGCGTTAAATTAGCTTTTTTAGCAATTACTCTTTTGGAGAATGACAGTGGAGTGAGGTAGTACTAGCCTATGCTAAAATGCAGAAATAACTAGAAGGCGTAGATAAGTGCTCACTACGAAGTATTAAATAGCAATATACATTTTACGTTAGAGAGCTGGAGTATAAACTCTACCGATGTAGTGCGCTTACACTCTAATCCAGCTCGCTTAAAAAATGTTGATTTAGTTTCAACAACAGTCCACATTTTTAAATTAAAGCTAAATTAACAGGTATTATCTAGATTTATTTAAATTAGCAAGGTTTTGTCAAGCTCTGGAACGTCATATTAGAGTAATTCGGTTTCATGATATATATATATATATATATGGGCCCAACCAAAAAGATAATGAGACTTGTTTAAATTAATCTTGGTCTTTACGAGTTTGTTATTTGGTGCTCATTGTTTGCCCTGTCTTTCAGCCACAGACCGGCTTAAAGCGCACCTCCTCGTGCTCCAACTACAAAGAGTTCATGGACTACAGAGGTGATTCCCAACCGCATCAGCATTCCATGATTCGAGGCTATCCGTCAGCCGGACCGTCCAGGGAGCAAACAGCCCTCCCATCACAACGTCGAGCCTATGACGGTGAACATTTGCAGCCTGGAAGCACTAGCAGCTCAATCAGAGGAGCTGCCGGCTGTGGTGTTGCCACGGCTGGAGGAAGCAGTAGTGGTGAAAGTAGTTTTCGCTCTCGGCTTGGGGGTTTCGTTGGACCCGACATCGATGCCAATCTAACCCCAAGCTTGAGTGAGAGTTCTGTCTCAGATTCAGAGCGCGCATTCAGAGCGGCTTGGCGGTCAACATCGCCGTCGGCAGAAGGACTTGAACCTAAGATCCATGGACGAGATCCAAGACTCTTGGTCTGTAAGAAAACAGAAGACTCTGGACAAGGGTGTAATAGCAAAGAGGCCAAATTGCCGCTTGAGTCATCACCAAAGTTGGACGGTGTCACTGCCCGGCTTGTCTCCCCAATGCTTAGTGGCCTGACTTTAAAACCGCCGATCATCTCAATCCAGACGAACACCCCACCTTCTGGCTCATCAGAGTCATCTTCATCACAAGGCAACACACCAGTTCAGAAACAAGCAACTGGCCAACTTGGAGAAGAGCTGATGGAAGCTTGCAGACATCCGGAGCAGCCGGTAGCAGCAATGCTGTATCCATCAGATGGGCAGGCAAACGAGCGTGAGGCAGACTCGCCGACCCCATCCACAGTCTCTTCGAACCTGGCCTCATCGCCAAGTAAGGGCATAGCACCATTACAACCACTACACTCTACCATGCAATCGTTTCATCGGCAAGATGAATCAGTAATCAGTCCGATCAGTAAATGTGTGAACCAACCATTAGCGTCGGCAAAAACTACGATCTGTGACACGAACCGACGGGCCGGTTTAATTGGCCTGGATTCCCAAGGCATAAAGGCTAAAGGAAATCAAAGAAATGACGATCGGAATGCCCATGCATTTCGACTAATATCCAATTGGCAGAGTAGAAATGAGGAGGTAGAGGAGCATACGGAGGAAGAGGAACAAATTGAAGTGGAGGTTGATGACTACGAATCCATTGTAGAATCGAGACTTTGCGGTAATACAGAAGATCCAGCTATGCTAGGTACGTAATTCGGTGGCTGTATTTATCCGTAATTTTTTTTATTCAAGATGTATTCATTCTGTTTCGTTTAAGGTGATGCAGGACAGGCAGCTAAATTTTTGTCCACAATGATACAAATAGGCCTCATGTTTCAATTGAATTTCGCATGGTCTTGCCTCTTCAAAGGTATTATCATCCAGGCTGGACTGTAGTTTTGACCTCGTCAATATCTCATCAGTACCCCCATTGGTCAACAGATCGAAATTAAACGCCGCAACATGAGGGTTTAAGTACAGTTGGGGGTGCTGACGAAACCTAGGCGAGGTGGAAACTACAGTCCGCTCCGTATGATAATACCCTTTGGGAAGTAAGACCATGTGAAACTCAAAGGAAAAGTCAGGTCTACTCCTTTCATTGTGGAAAAGGGTCAACTGCCAATTCTTCATCACCCTAAGCAAAATAGGGTGAATATATCAGATATATAGGAACAAGCTGGTAGTCTCGAAAACCTAATTATAAAAGAAATTTGTTTCTCTTCAAAACAAGACGAAAAATATTAAGCATTCGTCTTCTTTTTGCTGATATTT